ATTTATTTTTTAAATTTTTTTTAGAGTTACTTTTCGAATTGTCATCATTTTTTGTGATTATCCTGTTAAGTAAATTTGAGTGGCTGCTTATTTCTGCACTTTAATCTTATAAAATGGCTATGGCTGATGTTAAAAAAACAATTAAGGATTTTGACATATTTGTGGCCAGTTTTGCGCAGGATGCTGTCACAAAGCGTTACAGGAATGGTTTTGCTGTACACCTGTATTTCAGAAATGGAAAGCATAAGGCAAATACTGCAAGAATTCTAGAAGAATGTCTCCAGCAATCAGACAGTAACTATGTGCAAAATTTTAATGTTATCTCATCAAACCTATACAGGCTTGTGAAGAGGGTTTCTGATTTAAAGAAAAGTATCGACAAAAGCTGGCACGTGATAGAGGACCTGCTGCTGCAACCTTTGCAGGTTCCAGTATCAAGTGCAAAAAAGAGGCGTAAGGTGTCTGAGGCAACTGCAATCGCTGTTGAAGTTGATACTTCATCATTGAATTCACCTCCTCTAAAAAAGTTGAGGAATGACTGTAAGAAGTGCCCTTCTCTTAGAGAGGCAAGTCACACTAAATGCAGACGTTTGGCGGACAGGCTTAAGAACAGCAACAACAAAGTTAAAGAGCTTTCAAAGCGCTTCAATCAACGTGTTTTAAATCAGTCATTTAAAAGAAAGGCTGAAATAATAAATAAATTGAGGCTAAAAAATAAATCTTTAACAAGAGAAAGGAAGCTCCAGAACCAGATGTTTAACAAATGTATTGAATGTTCAGCTCAGATCATCAAACTGGAGCGAGAGAAAAAGAAGTTAGAGCGTGTCACTTTTTATTGCTGAGAAGGCAAAATTTAGCTCTGAAAACTTCATTGAAATGTAAAAGTGACATCCACAGTTTAATGGAGGCGAAAAGCGAGGAAGCCATTCCAACCACAACATCGTTGTCCCATTCACCGACTGCAAAGAAACTACAAAGAAAGACCTACGCTGCGACAATGAGAAAATGTATCTACAACTGCCTGATAAACCAAGTACCAGTTGAAAGAGTAGGGGTGGTTATACTATTTACAGTGAAGGAGTTAACGGGGCTGAACTTGACTGACATTCCAGGATCTTCAACCATTGCAAACATGGCTTTAGAGATTGGAATCTTGTCGGATATTCAGGTAGCTGATATCATGTACTTTTCAGAAAACCTCACTTTCTCCTGGGACTCTAAGGCAATTGATGGGCAGCACTACAATGCTTGCCATATCTCTACAGGTGAACAGAACCTGACCATTGAAGTGGCTGGAGTTCCTGGAGGTAAGACCTGAACCAACTTTTTAACTCCCTTCAGGATCTAGCCACCCTGTATTCTTTATACAACAAGGTGGATCAGCATGTTGTGTTACACCGTATCTTGCAGTCCTTCAATGCCAGTCTTAGTGACAGGGCGAAAGTTAATCAATGTGTTTCAATGCAGTTGGGTGATTTGTTAAACAAAAAGTTGGTTCAACTAAAATGCAATCTGCATACACTGGAAGGAATGGCTTCCGAAGCACGGAAGCAGTGTAAGCTTCTAGATACTGCCTGGAGTACCACCGGTATGTCATATGGGAATGATAGATGTGCAGCAAATCTTATACGGGCTGTATCTAAACTAAGGTAACTTTCATTTTAATCTTTGAAATATGGCTTGTTTAGTACTTGGATTTAGTTAAATTACTAATATAAACATTTCTTAAGATGCATTTTCATATAAGCACAAAATGAAATTTGTGTTTTTTTCCCCTCCACAGGTATAAGATGTCATCTGCTGATCCTGCAGTGTCCACGATTTTTTGAGACTGTTGCTGCTCTGTCTGTAGGATTTGTATCAGTCCTAAACAGGCAGCTTGAGGCGTATCTTGTTGGGGAACTGGCTAATCCAGTCACACTTAGATTCTGATGTTATTTTGGAGATTGTGATGTTTTGATGTTCGTTCATTGTAAAATTTAATTTTTAATATTTTGTATACTTTCAGGTGGACTCACATTTAGTTTCTGGTGTTCTTATGGGAGATTTACATTTTGTTTAATTGTTTTGATGTTTGCTCATTGCAAAATTTAAGTTTTAATATTTTGTATACTTTCAGGTGGACAAGGATACAATCTGTTACTGTGGACCGTGGATAACTACACACATTGGATATTTTTATGTTTTGTATTTAAATGCACTGATACAATAATGATGATGGAGATTCATATATCTTTTATATAAAATGTTCTGAATTATTGCTTTTGTATTTAAATACTTTATTAAATTTAGATTGTCACTGTCTGTCTGTACTGAAGATGTTATTGAAAGTTATGCTTAAAAATGTACATCAGTGTCGACATATTACATATTTTAAAATTTCTTATAGCATGATTTTATTTGCTTTTGCAATATTTGAATATTCTTTACATTTGGATTGTTACAAACTTTTTGTACTGAAAGTTTGATTGCAGTAGCTTTATTATTTTAAAAGTTATGTATTTAAATGTAAAAATTTCTCGGCGGGTGTTGCGTGTCATGAAATATTTTTTTCTAAAAGTGCATACATTTTTCTGATTTGTATTTCATTTATTTTAAATGTGCCTTACTTTTAGAATGACATTATGTTAGTATTGAAAATTTCATAGCAATAGCTTTATTGGTTTAGTATTATGTCATTTATTGTCAAATTTAATTTTTCGACTACTGTCGTTATCCACGCCAAGTGCAAATAAAATCAAATTTTTTCAAATATAATAAGTTAATTCACAATTCATGTGTTTTGTTTTGTTAAACATTGTATTGTAAATGTTTCCTCCAAATTTGAGAGCTCTAACTTTAATAGCTAAAAAGATACAAGCAAAATAGTACAAAAAGAGTAATAACGTGATCACAGTTTCAAATATTAAAATACAAAGCCAAATAGTGGGGAAAAATAAATCACTAAAAAAATCATAATTTTTCTCCTATAAGTGATAGAAAGATTATCTTGGTGTCATTGGAAAGCTTAGAGCCAGCTCTTTCCAATGATATGCTCTTTGTGTATGTCAGATGTATTTGAAAATTTGAGTTGGAGTACCTATACATACATATTATATATGTATGTATAGTATGTGTATATATATATATATATATATATATAATATATATATATATAGTTAATAGTATACATATAACAGTATATAAAACTAATAGTTAACTATTAATTGTAATTAGTTAGGCTTTTAAAACCTAATATCCCTCAATAAAAGCATAAAAACATATTAAAAATATGTGCTTGTTTTATTAGTTATTTTCTTTTTATTTTTAAATCAGTTATTAGGAGGTTATAGACTGGATTTCCAGAATAAATCAGGTTATTTGACCATAGCAAAAAATTATAACAATAGGTAATTTTGGGACACACGTGATTAAAATTTCCGAGTAAATTTCTGACTATCCGGTTGGGCCTAAAATTAGCATGTCTTGGATATGTTGTAGTTAATACCATTATTTATAAAGTCCCTGAAATTCAAAGGAATATGAATGAGTAAAAATTGCGTTATTTTACCTTCAATTTTCAAATTCAAAGTGAAGCCCCAAAATTTTTTGGGGGACTCAAGTGTCTAATCATAACACAACATGTCTACTCAAAGTTGTGGGCGGAAATAGAATTAACATGTTGGGCTATATATAGTTAAAAAGTCGTAAACAATGAGACTCTCGGTAAATTAAAAAGTGGAGGTCGCCATTTTGACAACGAAATCACGATACCCGGTTTTCGGCACTTCCCGGATCTTACCAAACTACCTACTACTTGGTACTCTGTTCTTATTCAAGTAGCAGTTGGTTTTGTGCAGCGTCTATGCTGTATCAATTAAATATTGTTTTGATAGAGTCAAGTGAAGTTAATCATTGAGGTATGGCTTCTTGTATAAGTATAAGGTTTCAAAAATGGATTAGATTGTTTAAAAAGTGCTATTTTACAGTGCACAAAGAATGTGGCTTAAATATTAGAGTTAGAGCAAAATTGAAAAGACGTGGGTGCTGGATTTTTTCTTGGCCGACGCTCAAGTGGTAGATTACCTATGACTATAGAACTATATTTAAAATAGAATTAAAAAATACAATAAAATTATAAACATAAACGTATTCTTACTTGCTTTTGCTTTACGTCACATTGTTCTTCGTGTTTTGGTCCGTGTTTTTTCAACGTTACAGGTTCATGAAGGTCTTCAAAAAATGGCGCATTTCTCTATTGATAGTCTCTAAGATTGCAAACCAACAGGAAGTATCCGTCATAACCATCGCGTGACCAACCGGATATTATAAAGCCCACACGTGACCAGCCAGGTCCGAATTGCTGCTATAGGTCCCCGGGTACCTATAGCCACTCCGTTTTATATTATTGGCATTACATTTTAACGTCATTAGTCATTCAAAAAAAAAAAAATACAAGGAAACAAACAAAAACACTTTTTAATGGCCACACTTTAAAAAAAAAAAAAGATAAAATAATGATTTTTTTTTTAGCGATTTTCCATTTTATTAGGGTAAAAAAAAAAAAAATACAAGGAAACAAACAAAAACACTTTTTAATGGCCACACTTTAAAAAAAAAAAAGATAAAATAATGATTTTTTTTTTAGCGATTTTCCATTTTATTAGGGTAAAATAAAAAAAAGAACCAAAAAAAAATTTTGTAAAAGTCTTTTCCAGCTCAAATAATGGTTAGAAAATATTTCTTGCGGTCTTTATTTTAGTAATGAACACATTACCTTTTATAAAATAAATTCATAAAGGTGATATTTTTTTATTTTTAAACAAAAAAAAATTTCCATCATTAAATAAAGTAACAAACTGACCTTTTTCAATTTCAAATATAACCTCTTTTTTTTTTCACTTCTCGGAGAAAACGAAAAATGCGAAAGACTTCCCAACAGCAAAAAAAAAAAAAAAATAAAAAAAAAAATAAAATACCAAAAAAAAAAAAAAAAAAAAAAATTAAATAAAAAATAAAATGTTATATTGAGTTTATTTGCTATCATCTACTTCATTAAAAAAATTAATTTGTTGAAAATGTTGCGGCGGTTAAAAAACAGAGCACATAGCTAAATATTATGGTACTAGAAACTACATTTTATATTTGAGAAAATTCTAAAAAAAATATATATATGTTTCACGTAATATATTACATTATATGAAAATGAAATTGTACAAATTATTCTTTATCTAAATAAACTAGGGATGGTTTTTAGTCAATGGATATACAAATATGACACCACCCCCCCACCCCCCACTAACCCCGTACATCAAACTTTATTGCTTATCATGCATTGATTTAAGCAATAAACCTTTTTTTTTTTTTAAATTAACCTTAAAGCTACATCTAGATATTAAAACAACTTGCTTCTCAAATCATAAATTTAACGTAGAATTATGAAAATGTTATAATTTCTTATAAATATATATAAGTTAATTTTCTGCCCGATTTTGGATGGACAATTTATTATTTTTAACTTGCATTTTTATATAAACCAGCATTTTTTTACACCAAGATTCCATTATGTTTTAACAAGTAATTTTTGATGCCTCATACTAGGAATGTATTAAAAATTCATTTCGTTTCGTAATATTTCTTTGGAATTGTATTATTTTCAGTTGTCGCTTATCAGTTAAGGTTTTAACTGTTTTCAGGTATTATTGCTATGATTAATCACATAAATAATAATAATATTACTTAAGACTTTTTTTAAGTTTCAAGAAATTTATTTAAGTTTAATTATGATTAACGTAAGACGACTTGATTAATCTTTGAATCGATGGCATTGTATCGATATCATGAAAATGGAACCATTATGTTTTTTTGTTTTTTTTAAATATTATTATCATCACGGCAATTAAGTTAAATACATTTATTCAAATATCATCGCAAATGCAATAATTAAAGTCAACATTAAGGATTAAAAATAAAAAATATTTCATTATGGTTAAAATGTTAAATAACACATATATTGATAAATAATCCCAGTAACATAACAAAATATTGAGATCATTAAAAAATAACAAGCCTAAATAGTTTGTTTAAGACTGTCTTATTTTATTTATTTATTTATTTTTTATTTAATTTTTAATTATTTTTTTTTGGGGGTGGGGGGGGGGGGGGGAAGATGGTTTTCATTTTCTTCATGGACATTTCAATTTTTTTTTCATGATTGTTAAGGAGGTAAGAAGCTATCTTCAATATAAAAAAAATTATAAAAAAGATAGCTTCTTTGCGTCAAAACAGTAATTTTCCCATAGTCTCTTTTCCCGAAGCCTCAGCATACGCGACAATATAAATTGAAAACTTTGCGCAGCGTTTTCTTGCGCGACCGATTCAGTGGGACACGGCAACGCTGAAGTTACCGTAGTTTGGTGTCACCTTTTCACTCTCATCTTTATTCATTCCCGAGTGGATCTGATTATACAGCCCGTTTCTCCCGTCTCGCCCCAACAAGAACACCGAGGCCCCGCTGCTTCCGTGGCAAGTGGCCGCCGTGTAGATGTATTTTAAATCTACGCCTCCAACATTAACGCGCTTTCTCAGGAACCCGAACGAAATCTGCTTGGGACACCCGTGGGGGTGTGATACGATGGCGATGAATTTCGGTGGAGATTTCTTCTTGCTCATCCTCCAGCTGTCGTATAGCTCCAAGGCGGAAGAGTTGTACTTCGTTAGATTCTTCTCAAGTTTTGACAACAGCTTCACGTCATGACTGACGCATCTCAGCTTGCACCAATCGTCGGTCTCGTTAACGCTAAATTTAGCCTTGAATCCGATCAGGTTTATCTCCGCGCTGTCGTCGCCGTCGTAACCCCACCTGCAAGTGGTCGCTCGAGCCTCATCCTGGTAGAAGACGACGTGTTTGGCGGTAATGACGTCCACAAATCCCCAAGTCATCTGCGGCGCGTCTGATTGAAGACATTCTGGGCACGCGCAGTGTTTACCTTGTCTGGTATTAAAAACTTGAACGCCGGAGACCCTTCCCGTGCCGTATCTTAGGAAACGGTTGCAGCTCTCGACTTTCTTAAAGACTTCGTTTTGGGTTCCCTTTCTTTTATCGCTCACGGTTGCGACACTCACTCTAACCGTCAGGAAGGCCAAGATCTGGAGCAGCCTGTAGAGACCGGGGTTTCGGTACGGGAGAGGCATGTCACCAAAAGTGAACGCGCGAACAGGTTTGAAGTGAGCATGGTCTGGATTTTTTTTGCAGTCGTCGTAAGTCTTGTGCAGGTCTGATTCTGGGCCGCAGATGACCTCAGCCTCATAGGGGCCTTTATATTTTAGAAAAGAAAAAAAACAGCGAATTGTCAATGATGTCTTAAGTATTTTGTTGCTGTTGTTGTTGATGTAGTAGAATAACCGATCTTAACTTAACTGAGAAACAAAAACTGTATATTTAATTTTGTATCCATTATATAACATTTAGTTATTTGGATAAAATGAAAAAAAACAAAACACCAAGATGTTGATTTAAAACTACTTTTGATATGTAATAAATACGTTTTGTTGATGTCAATATATATTCATAAAATCAGTCCTCTATCTGTTTACCCAAGTGGATGAATAGCTACAATGATGTGACCAAACTTACCCAAACTGTCTCGAAACAGCCTCGCCCTCTGCAGCCTTTCCATCAGACGCGTGTCAGTCAGCGGCAAATTGAGAAGGTTGGGTCTGATTCTCAGAGTCGGGTGGTCAGACTTCACTCGAGTCTTTGACCGCACTGCAATTGTTTTGGAAACGTCCTCTGCTTCAGGGTTATCAAATAAAATAAACAACGTAATGCAATGCGGGCGATTTTTTTAAATTACAATCTTAAGAAGTAGTCCTCCATCTGTATAATTTCAAATCGAATGTGAACAATTTTTTATTTGATTAAACTAATATTGAAAATATTGTTTTATGTTCTAAAACGAAATGAAAAATACTTTTAATAGTAACAGTTTTATCTTTTTTTTTTACCACCATATTTTAGGTTACTACTAAAAAATACGCTTTCAGTGAGATGGTAACTCAATGTTACCAAAAATGTGTACCATAGAAATGTTTGCACCAGGAAATAGTTCGACGGAAGTTTGTTCGAACGGAATTCTTTTCGAAACGGATACATGTTCTGAATCGAATAACTCGGGGGNGAAGAATTAATTTAATAGCTAAGAAGCTAATTAATCGCCAATAACCAAATTAAATTCCGAACGAATTTCTGTTCCCACAAACTTCCGTCCAACAAGTTACGGTGAACAAAAAGTATATCTTACAAATAAAGGGATAGAGGTAACTCAGTACTGACTGTAGCCAACCTTCTAAAAAAAAAACTGAACAACGTAGTACGGCTCAAACCACTTAAATGACCGTTATGGCCATCATGGTAATGGTGTAATTCTGTAATGTCACCTTGACTTGCTGGTCGAGGCGGACCTCCCTTGGCCACGGATCTCGACTGAACAGCTGCGCACGTTTCCAGTACTTCCCAGCTCATTCGACTGCCGGCATCTATCGTCTTGGAGTCGGTGCGAGCGGCTTTGGTTGCCATTACGTCTCGGAGAAGGTCAGATTCTTTGAAAACTGTAGGCAAACATAAACACATTACTATTTTAATACATTATGCTTTTTTATTTGCTCGTTGTTCTTTTTATAATGAAACAATTTAAGGGCAATCATTGACATTATAGTATAGTGGTAGATATAAATGAGCTCATTTTACATTTGCAGACCAAATCAATTTAATTTTTTTTACGCACTAATACTATTACATAATATGTGCGGGGGGGGGGGGGTATAATGGTAAATGAAAAAACAAAACGAGGACTGTTGAAGCTAGAATTAAAGGACAGGACAATAAGATTTGAACATTTGCAGACCAAATCAATTTAATTTTTTTTACGCACTAATACTATTACATAATATGTGCGGGGGGGGGGGGTATAATGGTAAATGAAATAACAAAACGAGGACTGTTGAAGCTAGAATTAAAGGACAGGACAATAAGATTTGAACGTTTCCACATAGAGCCTTCTTCAGCGCACAGGACAAATGAAAATAGCACAAGGAACAGAGCACAGTGAACAACTCAAGAAATATCCAATGTTGTTGCCGGAAGTAGGGTTAATGGTAAGGGTTCTTTTTTGACCCCGACAAAAATATTTGAACCTAGTTCAACTGCTTGGCCGTACAATCCCCGTGCCACCCTGGCCGCCCCCATGACGTCAACAGGTATTCCATCGCTTTTGGAACCAGTGTGCAATGCTGGCAGTTCGCGACCCTTTCGTGGTCTAGCCCGTTGTAGTAGCACTTAGTGGGGCAGTGTTCCGTCCACATCTGGGTCCCCCAGCGCTGATGCTGGCATTTCAGTTTTAACCACGGATCGGAATTGTTTGGCCTGGGCATGTTAGTATAAACAGGGGACAATTCGCATCGTAAACTTTCCATTTGTTGTTGATCACGTCACAAAACACATTTCTGACAGCTCTTACAGAGAAAAAGTGTCTTGAAGACAATTCCAACAGAATAAAACTGATTTTGAAGACAGCTTCCACAATATGTTATAAATTTCTGGTATTTTCTATACATAATATTTGATACTTGTAAGTTAATGGAAGAATCTACCAGTGGGCTCCGACCATTTTTTGACGGGTCTTATGTCTTCTGTCGTCCTTTGAATGGCTCTAGTCCAGGCCTGCACAATTCGAAATGTAAGGCGTGGCCGTAATACATTATGAAAAAACGTGTGCGGGCCAAAAGAATATAGGTCAGGGAGGAAAGCTATTAAGAAAATACTAAGAATATAGAGTTTTTCGTCACCTCACGGAGCCACAAAGTGGGTGCTGGCGGGCCACATACGGCCCGAGGGCCTTATGTTGAGCAGGCCTGCTCTAGTCGATTGACATGGTGATTATTGTTTTTCGTGGTGGGGGGGGGGGGGGTAAAAAATGTGTGTGTAATATTGCTCGATTTTTTTTTTCTTCTTCTACAAAACGTCTAACAACTTAATGAATAAAAAGCGTGAAAGATGTTTTAACGATTATAATGTGGTGTCAGTTGATAATGATTTCTCATATTCAAATTACAATGATGTTGTCTCTCTCATATTGATTTAATTAATACATAAAAAAGTCAACTAAGTATTATGTAAATGTTTGTCATGCGTGCACTGTTTCAATAGGTGTGTGTATGGGTGTGCAAAACCGGCAAGAGTTATATTCGAAACTAGGTCAAGATTACCTGTCTCATATTAAATGTTAAAAAACGTCCCTATGGTTTTAATTGATGACGTCATTTCAGACAAAAATTTCAGAACAAAATTAAAATATGAAAACGAAATTAGTAAAAAAAAAAAAAAATCGTCTACTATTTTTGTAGCATTGTGAGGGAGCCCAGACTATATTGTCCACATAAATTTGTACAAGCCTTACATCTACAGGTGCAGTGGTTCAGGTTTTACCAATAAAATCGGGAAAACTAAAAATTATGCAAGGCCCACTGGCCGTGATGTTTCAAACTATACATAACTTATACCTATGAAAGTCATTTGCGAATTAAGAAGCATCAAATGTATTTACAGACAAATAAATAATTGCATGAATAACAATAATTAGAATAATAACACTAACACGTAAAATATTAATTAATCACATTAATTTATTATAATACAATAAATATTATTCACCTTAGGGGTCGTCCATTAATTACGTCAACAATTTTTATGCAATTTTTGACCACCTCCCACCCCTTGTCAACAACTGTCAAACTTTCAATGGCACCCCCTCATTAATTATGTCAAAATTTTCAAACCCCCCTCCCCCCTCCCAAAAAAAAAAGGATTTATATTAAAAATCAATGTATAAATATATTTTACTTTGTGCTGACCTATTTTAATGACAATAAAATTGTAGAAAAACATTTCATTACATCTCAAGCTTGTTAATCAGCAAGTTAAAAAGTTTTTACACTTCAATTTTATAATGCAGAATCAATTGAAAGTTGTTAAAGACTAAATATAATTGTTTGTGGTATAAATATGATTATTGTCAGTAAAACTGACAATTACAATATAGTTTCTAGCTGCTATCATCTTTCCAAGGCGTAGCCAGGTTTGCTCTATCGTAACAATTGGCATCAGGGACATCATTTGGGCAGGGCAGGGGGGCATTAGCCCCCACCCCCTAATTTGCAGGTTTTATTTAAATTACTATGTGCCCTGGCGCCCTCAGTAATAAACAACTTAACTAACTGACCAAGTTTTCGGTTTGCCACCCCCACCCCCCGAAAAATCCCTGAAATGAAGCTCCTGGTGGGCATAATCTATAGTAGCTGATTTATCATTTTCAGTTTTCGGCACTGATATACCAGACAAGTCAACATCATCCTCATCTAACCATTCAGCACTTGAAATAGAAGCAATGTTGGTGTGAGCAATAATTGCCATAAGCTCTCTCTATCTCCTTGCACCAACTCGCATTGGAGCTAATTTCTTAAGCTCAAGAGGGCATTTTCAGTGCTGTTGATGCACAAATATGTTAAAGATTTTGCAAATCCGTTCAAGCAGCCACGTTGTTGTGCTTACTCACTTTACATTCACCTAATTCTCAAACTGTCGTATTCCTACTCTATCAATAGCATTTATCGTGACTGCACATGTCACTTGAACCCTTTCTTGTTTCACACCTGCAACAGAATCTACAGGTGAAAAGAGGCCAACTTTTGACTTCTCGTGCACTAACAAAGTGTGCGAGCATTCTGACCTGCCATCTCAAGTGCAGAGACACTCATTAAATAAATCTTATATTGTTAAAAGCCTAAAGATTATATGACTAGTTACACTCATTTACACTTATATATATTTTTTTTAAATAATGTAATAACCAGTCAAATTTTAAGATTAAAATTTTAATAGAGAAAAATATGATTGTTGACGTCCACTAATCTAACCCCCTTCCCTCCCCCTTGTCAACAACTGTCAAACATTTCTAAACCCCCTCCCTCCACCCTATTTTGTTGACGTAGCTAATGGACGCCCCCTTAATGCCTTTATCACAAAATTAGAGCTAAACGTACAATGTGATATGTGTTATTAGAAACAATTAAAAACATTTTACGGCCCATAATATAGTAAGCAATTTAAAGTATATTAATTTTAAAAATGAAGGAAGACATCAATTTTAATGCTAGATATTTGTTTGTTTGTTTGTTTGTTTTTTTTGTTTTTTTATTATTTTTTTTTTGTTTTTGTTTTTTTGGTTGTTGTTGTTGTCATTAAAATCATTTACTTTTTTTTAAACAACCTACATCTCTCTAGTTATATTCCAGAGACGGTTAGTTCACAGACAACGATTTTAATATGCACCGGAAAATATTACGTCAACGGGTATTTCTGCTTTTAAATATAGCGTGAAGCCCCACATAGCTACCGCTATAACTATAATTTCAGATTTAAATTTTTAAAAAAAATAAAATCTCAATTAGAGTAATTAGACCATGTCCCTTTTAAATGTATTATAATGTTTTGTAATTATTTTTGTAGGAGATCTACAAATATACATAAGCTATATTCAAGAATGATAGCGCTAGTATTTGTTTAAATATTGATTTATCTTCATTCATTAAAAATAATTCCTCCTCGGTCAGCATTTTCGAAAATATTTTCGGGTAAATCCTATTTTCCAAACATAAGAAGAATCACTGACCAATCTAACTCAAATACAATTACAGACATGTTATTTCTTTTGAATATTTTGATCAAATATAAGCAACAGTTTTAGGAAAATCTTGTTTGCACCATATAAAAATCAAGTTTGTACCTGAGACAGTCACGTTTTTTTTTTTTAATTCGTTCTATTTCTAATTGAATTTAATATCAAGTTGACAAATATTCCTTTTTTTTTTGTTTTTTTGTTTTATTATTAATAATCTTATTTAACAAATCCTTAAACAACAGGGTGGTAATTAAATAGCTAAAAGATAAACCTCGTTTATAACATTACAGTTTAAATATAAAATGACGAAAACATGTACATTTATACGTGACAAATATATAGGACATGACAACGAAAAAAAAATAATGCTTTCTATGAATAGGAAGTAATGTAGACGCAAACATGTAAATCACACAATTAGTTTTTTTTTTAAAGAAATAAACCTCCATTAATGTGACTGATTTACCAACCTTGAAAAAATAATGTCCTCAAAAATTCAATGCAAGCTAACACGTTTTAAGTATAAATGTTCGTCAGACAACAACACACATGAATAGTCAATCGCACGGTGCAAAGCTTTGTTGTGAATGTTTCTAGGCAGGAAAAAGTCGGACCACAGTTCGTGTGGCTTAAGCCGTATACCAGTCTACATGTCCTTATAGCACAATCAATTTTTTTTTTTAAATAGCTCTTTTTTTTTTATATGCACTTCCTTCTTCGTTCCCAACTACGTTTTCCTATATAGAGCTGTTCTGAATGATCCCAAGAATAATGCCGAGGTGTATGTTAGACATGTGTTGCAATATGGAGAAATATTTTAAAGTGATCTAAGTAAAGTTTGAAAAAAAATAACATAAGTGTCATTAAGCTGTCTAATGCTTTGTTTTTTTTGTTTTGTTTACAGTACCTCATTTCAGTCAATGAGAACGGTATTTGCTTACGTATCAGAAATGTCACCCAGTAGTCAGTAGAAAGTGTTAGACCGCATGCGACCAGGGCTCGAGTCCTCCTGGAACGCATGTGAACCCCCATACACATCAGAAACCCAGTTCCGATCAGCAGGCTAGGTGGACAGTGCCATGCGGGTATGCGAGCAGTATTGCAGGCAATAGCGGGGAAGATGATTACCCATTGTTGTCTTTGGTGTATAGTTCTGGCAATCAGGCTAAATTAAATTTGTTTTAACATTTGATGTTCTATTATTCGTTTAATGCTTGTGTAGACTGAAAAAAAGAGATTATAAATGTAGCACTGCGTTTGCTAATAAAAATAAATACATTTTCAATTAAAGGTTGAGAGGGTCTCTTCAGTAAGTTTCAACATTTTTTTCGCCAGTATTAACCACTTCATAGCATGTTGGTTTAGATTCCTTTTATTTCTGCAAACACTCCCATCATCTTAAAACTCTCCCGTCATAACACAATCTCTCCCATCATCTCACAATCTCTCCCGTCATCTCAAAATCTGTCCCGTTATCTCACAATTCTCCCGTCACCTCACATTCTCTTCCGTCATCTCACATTCTATTTCGTTATCTCACAATCTCTCCCGTCATTTCAAAATCTCTCCCGTAATCTCACAATCTCTCCTGTCATTTCAAAATCTCTCCCATCATCTCACAATCTCTCCCGTCATCTCCAACAAACTGGGCACAAGTAACTTGGAACAGGTGGGTCTGTCATCTGAAACTGTTTATATATGGGGATTGGGCATAGTTGTTTTATTTGCACACCATACAATGTTTCATACATAAACGATTTTTTATTGTTTTTTTATGAGTATTTCAGGCTTGCTTCCAGTATTTATTAAAAACCCTTCATATAATTGGAATAGCATTTGTTTTTTAAATGACCTCATAATGAAATGTTTATTTGTTTGTTATTCCTCATCATCATCATCATCATCAGTGTTGCTTCAGCCCATGTAGGGCCCTGGTCTGCTCCACCATATTTAAACCGTGAAAAATAAGACCACACTTTATAAAACATGTTACGTATTTTCAAGAAGTATGTTTTCTGCACTACTATTTTGAAAATGTGTATAAAATATGTATTCCAAAATGGCACTATTTTAAAGATATAGAGCTTTAACACTAATATCAAGGGAAGCTACTATACATTAAAAAATTATTGCCCGGGTTAAATCCCTTCCATTACTTGTGCTAAAATGTCAAAATAATTTTTTTTCAACTCATGTATAATCTTATGAGCATCTATTTTATCATTGTAAACTGTTACATTTAGAATGGGAAACGATTTACAGCTTTCCATGTGTGTGGAAATTTTAAAAAAATTCATTTAAAAAACATTAAAGCATCTTTATAGAACATGCAACAAACAAAAAAAGAACAACTTAATAAAAAAAAAAAAAATAAATAATAATAAAAATTATTTTACACACACAAAAATTATTCACATTTTATTTCAAGCTTGATAACACCTGATTAAATGACTACAAAAGATTGTTGCAAAACGTAAAAATGGAGTCTAGAAAGGTTTTAAAATTAATGGATAAGAAAATTGTTAGGTGGTTATGAGACGGATTGTGCTACGAATAGCGATAATTTGATAATGTCAAAGATTAACAAAACAATCTAAGTGGACCGTCCACGTATTCCCTACGCTACAATATCATCCTGTTTACAGTCAGATTTCCCCTACAGCTGGGTACTCATACAGTTTATTCTCGCTCTAATAATAATCACCCGATTAACTAGCTATGTTTTTAATATCTTGTATCAGTATTTTTTTGCCACTAAGATCAGCCAAGTAAAACAAGTTTCTCAATATTTCACACCTTTTATTTTCAAATGTAATTTAATTTTGACCTATTCATAATTTATTCAACGCAACACAATAATTTAAATAATTTACCGACTGATATTTCAATTCAATGTTATTTTCATTTACTTGGTTTATAATTTGGAAAAAGAACTTTTCGAATTTAAATGTAAAATTAGTGATTACAATAAAATAAAGCAAATGATTTTTAAAAGCCTTAAAGCAATTTTTTTTTATATTTTTTTTTAATGTTAAAACAGCTGCTAAATGTTTCTGCAAAGACTTTAAGTTTAGTGGGACTCAGCGAAAAACGTGAAGAAGAATGTAGGGGTAATAAGGGGAGAGACTGCAATCAGGTTAGTACAAAATAAAATGGGTAAAACAGAGTAGGGTTAAACTTGAAAAAATAAACGCAACAAAACAGCGAACGTGTCGGCAGAGAGCCTTCGTCAGCGAACAAAACAACAGAAAAAACGGTATAAAAATAAGAAATAGCACTTAGCTGGTATGTAGTATCTGTGAGCAGCAATAGACGAAGGCTTTCTGCCGACACGTTCGCTGTTTTGTTGCGTTTATTTTTTCAGGTTTAACCCTACTCTGTTTTACCCATTTTAAGAAGAATGTAGTACAACAAATAACAGCAAATACACACACACATTGTTTTATAATTGTTAACAAAAAGAGTTTAAGAAAAAAAAAAAAGCAATATCTATCATGCCGTAACCTTGTGAATAGCAGAGAAAAAAATAATAAAATTAGCAACTTAACTCACTTAAGTAATAAAGTCATTGGCTTTCTTTGGGCAATGTTAGCATTAGCATTATGTACAAGTACTCAGCCTAGTATGCATTTGTAAACATATTTTTAAAAAACATGATTGTTCCATAACTGTGTGTTTTGGTTAGTGTTTTGTTATAGTTTTAGTGAGAGTATTTGGTGTCTAGATTTATTGTGTATTATGAAACCTTAAGAATTGTTGTTCTTTTTCTCTTACATACATAACGCATCTACAATAAATTTATTACATTGAATAATCACAGCATCCCATTCAAGGAAGTAATTATACATATATCTATATCTATAATTCAACAGCAAAGGTCAAACACCAACACGGTTCAAACACCACGCAGGCTATTTATAGATACGCCAGAGTGTGGTTCAATAACGAGTTCACTAGCGCGCAAAATATAATTCCCGATAACTACGCTACATATGATATACATATTTTTTTTTAAAAAACGCAATTGTGTTTGGTGCGTAATATTTTCTTTTCTGAAATGAAATCGTCTCAATTTAAGTATCGTGCAAAAAATATTCGGTTAAAAAGTGGTTGGGACATTAGAATATTAATATAGTTCAAATAAAAAGTGTGCAGTGACGTATCATGAAAAAATGGGTGTGGGGGGGGGGAGGGGGGGTGGTGTGGCAAAATTGGTATTCTTAAATTTGCTTAACTTGAGTTCACGTTTTCGTCAAGTAACTTTAGTAGATGGGAAGTTCCCGCATTGCTGTCGCCAATGTTTGGCGGGCTCCATCTAGTTCTGAATATTTCAATTCTTTCAAGCCCCTTTTCGAATCTAACTAGTTAATTGAGTATTTAGGAGTGCTCATCACCTTCTACATGTAAGTATATATATATATATATATATATATTATTATTTTATTATTTTTTTAGGGTTGGGGGCGGTGTTGGAGGGGAGCTGGCAGGGCCACTTTGGCGGTTGCATTTACGAGTTTTATTAAAATGTTCAACTTAAGACAATGATTTAAAAAAAAAAAAATAAATTGTACCTTTTGAAACTGCAATTATTTAAAATCATCAATTCATTATTTTTTTTAGTTAGGTAGACTGCATTTTTTATTATATTTTCAATCAGATGCGTCATTCTTCGCTCTTTATATCCGTCATATAATCACAAACTAGCGTTGATATAAATTCTCAACACGCAGGCTTGTCCGGCACTGGTCCTTAACGAACAGGTTCCCTTTCAATCATAACGTGTTTGGATCCCTGAGCTCAGTGGACCGAACCTCTTCCCTACCATCTGCTTGACAGGGACTTTCTTGGTCGCTCTCTTCACACATTTCCTCGTCAGATCCCATAATTTCTGATTGCCTTGATACGAGACCTTCGGATTCCTGTTTGAGTTCAACAAAAAAAAAATGGGTTGGCTGGCACTTAGGTGTTCTATTATTGGCATATGTGTTTCATTATGCGCATAGTATCTATGTCGCAGCGTGTGTATACTGCAACCATATCTATTTCAAACATTACTGTTCAGAAACCGGAATATACACTTTTATAACTCTACTATCCCAGTAAGGTTGAAACAAATTCTTGATTGCACAAATAAATTGTAATAAAATATATTATTCTATTTTGTAATTTTTACATAATTTTGAAAACTATAAAGACACTTTATTTCCACCTTAAGGGCTCATGTACTGAAATGGGGAAAATTCAATTGATGAATAATTCAAATTTTAATGAGATTCTATTTAATATCCAACCACGCACATATATACAAGCCGTTGGCTTTATGCGGATAATGTTAGTGCAGCTTCATCTTACCGGCGTCCAAAGCTACGCTGGGGAGGCAAGTGGGACGGGAGGGTCCTCTGCTACTAGTTGTTATTCGACACAGCCCAACAGATGGAGCAGGTCGCAAATGTACTAACCAGAGGCTATTGAAAACGTAAGCTCAAGACCCCATCCCCTTTTTTATACAGAATATCTAAGTTAGTTAGTGAAGCTGAAACATACGCCAAGCTGCGATAATAAACTGAACGTCTTTATACATGGGTCTGTACACTTACCTCATCAGGCTCCACAGCGGTGTCCCATGCCTTTTCGTTGGTAGGCTGTTCCGTGCATGGGCTGGATTCTGTGCTGCTCGTCTCTAGGCTCACCATCTCATTGTTGTAAATGACGTCTGATGTATTTTCCATTTCATTGTTGTATATGGGATCCTGTGTATCTTCCATTTTATTGTTGCCTTAATAGAACGACGAAAAATAACAAAAAAAAATTTGCAGTAATTTTCGATGATTTATAAATATAATCTTGTATTAAACAATCAAAATTTTCTAGAAACCTCAGTCTCTAAATTTTAGATTTCACTTAAATAAATAGGATGGTCAGTGATGAAATTAATGTTTTTTTTTCTTCTTCTTCTTTTTAACACATGACTTTAAAGGGCGTTGCCAGTGGTGTGTGGAATCGGCGGTCTGCCTAGGACGGCACTTATAAATATACCTATATAGAGGGCTTGCACCTTCGTACTACTGCTAACATTTTTTTTTTTTTGTGGAAGGGGGCGCGGCAAAAAAGCTTACCCGCCCTGATCGCCACCCGTCCCAGCTGTGCACCACAGCTTACGTCTGATATTTCTAATTGTGTGTGTGTGTGTGGTTTTTTTTTTTTGTGGTCTTTTTATCACTGGAGACCAATGGAAAAACTTAATCCCTGTACGTATTATCTATTGACAACTTCTCTGCGTTCTCAATGAGACACTAAGTAGCCTACATTGGTATTCTCTAGATGAAATCTTTCCAGTGCCAAAGTTCGGTTGTTTTTCTCTTCCCTTGTTATTATAATTATAATTATTATTATGGACGGTGGTCAAACAAGGGGGTGCTGTCCGAAGTGCAGAAAACAGAAGTGAATGGAAAAGGATACTTTTCAGGTCATCTGTGGCACCCCAACGGCCCAAGGACTAAGGGACATGATAATGATTATGATAATTATGATAATTTTTTGTTGTTTGTTGTTGTTGATGGTGGCTTTTAACAGAAACGTCCTTTCGATTATCCTGTGTCTTTATTCAGGCTTCCATTGACCATGTTCTTACTATTTCATTCCCACAGCTTGATCGCATTGTCTACCCTATTAATCTGTCATCTGAAGTAATATTTGAAGGAGATGTAATGAAAACACTATGGGTTTTTTTTTTTTATTTTGTTCGTGTTTTTTTTATGTTTAGAAAGACATCATTTACTTACTTTTACAGGTTTTTATGATTTTGGCGTACGGCTCGCTTTCCTCTTCGTTTGCAACATTGTGAAAGTTGCGTGCCACTTTCGCTTTCAGTAAGTCTTTCTTCGGCTTGCGAACTGGTTAGAAAAGAGGTAACTGGTTATAAAGGACGCGAACTGGTTAGAAAAGAGGCGAACTGATTAGAAAAGAGGTGAACTGGTTATAAAAGACGCGAACTGGTTAGAAAGAGGCGAACTGATTAGAAAAGAGGTGAATTGGTCAGAAAAGAATGATCTGGTTTAGAAGGAGGAAAACTGGTTAGAAAAGAGACGAACTGATGGGAAAAGAGGTTCATTACCAAGAAATAATTTTAAAACAGAAGATTCCCGCGGATTCAAGCAAATGCAAGTTTTATAAAAAAAAAAATTTTAAAAATCAAATATAGATTAGATTTGAAATAATCCAATTAAGAATTTTTTTGAAACCATAAAATTAATATTCTATTACATGTTTTTTGTTTTTCCTCTTTCTAGAAATTTCTATACATATCAACGTTTACCCAAAATATGTAGAACAAAAAAAACAAAAAAACAAAAAATTTTGTTCTAAACGATTTTTATTGAAACGAATGATTTTTCAAAAGGAATTTATTTCAAATAGAAATTTGCTCGGAATAATATTTGTTTGGATGAGATATTTTTTCTTTGTATGGAAATGTTTGAGAAATGCGGAAAATGTAAACCTCTGGTAATATTTTCTCTCCCTCCCATCATTTCCGTTCGGACAAACTTCTGTTCGAACTAGGTTCCGTTTGAAAAAACAGTTTTTTGGTGCCATTTGATTTAGAATAAATTGTTTTCGTTCTTGTTTCTGGATATTGCTCAAACAATAAGTCCTGACGTCTAGACATCAGCTCAAAAATATTTTTTAAAACTTTTTTTTTACAATTTTTTTTTTTCATTTTATAAAAATAATTCAAAATATAAGAAATGTGGCCTCTCTAGGTGCTTGAAGTACATCCGTGCAGGATACAAATTTAAAATGAGTTTTAACCAATCAATCTTTAAAAAAAAAAATTATTTTACTAGTCAAACTATTTTTAAGACAAAGGAAATATTTCAACACATTTATTCACATAGTTTTCGTAGCAAGAGTTGAAATTTTTAGCAATTAAAAAAATAATCTCGATAGGATGATTTGATTTTTCCAAATTGGTTGGCTACAGTACATATTATGAAGAGCGTACATATGCCGACTGGATACCAAAATGGTACACATACTAATAAAATCTAAATTGTGAGGACAAGAAAACTACAAATTGAGATATCTTACCGATTGGCTTAATGGTGATCTTCTGTGGCTCTGGAGGGATTGGTGTGGCTTGGTCCATCCATAGCTTAACAGACGCATCATTGTACATTCCTCGGCGCACAAAATAAAAAATAATAAGAGCATGTCACTATCAATAATTACGCAGTGCTCTAGAACGGCCTTCCCCAAAATTGTTGTCCGCGAAGCGGCACTGGTCCGCGGGCATTACGTTAGCGGTCCGCACATATGGAAATTTGATTGTTAAATAAAAGGAAAAGGAAATGATTCAATCTTGCATATGTCCCGGGGTGAATTTTTTGCAACGTGTTGTTACGTGTAGCCTAGTGTAGCGTACGGCTTTGTTTTCACATAAACACAAAGTTGTTTCTATCCACCCGCACTTCGACTTGTCCCGTTAGCACGACCTTGATATTGAAGTCGTCAAGTATATGTGCTATGGCACTTTTTTCTTCCCCGCCCCTTTCTCGGTTGGGAAAAGCTTATTGACATCGAATGAGTGCCGTTCGATCTTAAGAATGCCATTACGTGACAAAATTTCTAGCATTCGGTTTTAGTACGTTCTGATGTTGTTGCTATATATATATATATATATATATATATATTTGTGAGCTTTCTTAGCAGAGAGACAAAGAGAAACATAACGAGACCTAGATAAACAGAGTGAGTCAGAGTGAGACAGGTAGAGATAGCCAGAGAGAGAGAGAGAGAGAGAGAGAGAGAGAGAGATTTGCCATACGAGACGTTATGTAATTATATGTATAAAATATTATTTGTATTTTGAGGATTGTACCTTTTTTTTCACCTGATGTATTTGATACACGTTTTTTTTTTTTTTTTTTTTTTTTTTTTTTTTTTTTTTTTTTTTTTTTAATTTTTTTTTTTTTTTTAAATTTTTTTTTTTTTTTTTTTTTTATTTTTTTTTTTTTTTTTTGTTTTTTTTTTTTTTTTTTTTTTTTTTTTTTTTTTTTTTTTTTTTTTTTTTTTTTTTTTTTTTTTTTTTTTTGCTTCTCTACTCAAATCGTGCATTTTTGTAGAAATCTATTCATATAGATTTTTTAAATATTGTTAGTATCAGTAGCTTTGGCGGCGTTCTCTGTGCATACTCTACTACCAGTCCAAATATGATACACTTTAAAATCTTTTAACACGTTAACGGCACGGAGCACTTGTCAAACCGGCCCGCCAAACCTAAACGCTTGGGCAACGCTGCTCTAGAACATGGGCATTGATATGCTCAAACACTTTAGAATTAATAGTTGACTGCATTAAAATATATGTCTAATATAAACACAAGGTATATATCCTCTATGTTAAAATAAAATTCCCGATAACTGTGCCAAATGAGAATCTTTAAAAATAATATCGCAAGTGCTTTGGGTGCGTTCTAGATGTATAACGATGGATTTATACGAAGATCTTGGTATTTTGGGTGTTATTTCATGAACGCAATAGTTAAAACTTTCGATCTTTATCCTTTGGTTATTTGTTACCATCATACACATACTGCCGGGGATATTAAAGTGGTTTCTTTAATTTTGATACGTTTTCTAGAACGGTGATTAGGAAGTGTCATTTTTATGGATCTTTTAACAAAAAAAAAACAACGTATAATTCGCAAAAAAACTAGAATAAAGACCAACACAACGCAGGCTGTTTATAGATACGCCAGAGCAAACAAGACGCAGGCAAACCCTCTCCTCCCCTCCCGATGCCTGCCCAGCGTTGGTCTGAAGACATGCGCACTGTGGTGGAGCTACCACCCCCCCCCCTTATTGCCCCACCCTTGCTTGCCAGCCAGCTTGCGGCGTATGCTAAGCCGCGGGTTGGCGTGAAATAACAAGTGTGCAGTGACGTATCATAAAAAGGGGGGTGGGGGAAGTGGTTTAGCAAAATTGGCTTTCTTAAATGTGCGTAACCTTGAGTTCACGCTTTTGTCAAGTAACTTTAGTAGATGGGAAGTTGACGCATTGCTGTCGCCAATGTTTGGCGGGCTATATCCACCCTCCCTTGCCAGCTTGCGCACACCCCAACAAGCTTGCGGCGCATGCTACGCCGCGGGTCGCCTAGTTATTGAATAACAACGTATTATTTTTTTTTTAAATTTAATTTCAACCCCAACAATATGAACTTATACAATATGATAGTTTGATATTCGGGAAATATTTATCTCATAAACTAATAGTTTATTTACGGGGAGAAGCCAAAAACATCATCAGTCTGCTACTGACTGGTGTACGAAATGACATTCAGCACGTTGCGATTTAATGCTCGCAGAACTATCCCACAGTGTGTTCCATGTCAGCAATAGAAAAGTTTTCTTATGGGAATAAAACAACTAGATGATAAACGACTGATGATTTGGTTACAATGGACCTCTTACGTCTGTGAAGTAACAAAAGTATTCATAGTAATATACACATTATTTCTAACCATTCATATGGACTGAAAAACAAACATAAATTATTTATTCATTTACGGACATGGTCTAGTAACTGCATTGTGTTTGGTTTTTAAATCGATCAACCGCATATCAACAAGGACGTCATGTCATGCCCATGGACTGATTCAAAAACGTTCACTTATGATTTGTATTAAGGTTGGCCAAGTACCTGAATTGTTCTTAGCGTGCCATCGTCTTCGCTTGAAACAAAATATATAGATGAGGAGGACAGCGATGATGACGGGGATCATTAGATAGAAAACGAGCACGACTGTTTCCTTAAATGTCGAACTCACTCCGGAACCTGGGTGTAACACAGCGATCAAATACACTCATCAGTTTTGGGAATTGAAAAGAAGAACACATTGAAATTTTACTATCCAAACAAAAAACTTGGTTCTATAGGTGCATACTTATCCTTTTTGTTTGTGTGCGTGTGCTTCTTAGAGTTAACTTTGAAAATAACAATTCATACATGTTTTCCTAGTGAAATATTTATATATATCTAGCATAAATAATAACTCTGTAAGTACGTATGAGTGTATGCAGTGTTTGGCCGTATCGCCGTCTTCATTAACCCAATTGAGTACTTATGGGGATTTATTATAAAAGAGCGTTCTTTGAATACAGAATTTTGTCAAGTATCTTGAGTAGATGGGAAGGTCACCCATGGTCACTGCAATTATTTGGCGGAATCTTTCTAGCATTTCTCTCCACACACACGCCTCATTTATTCTCTCCACACACACGCCTCATTTATCCTCTCCACACACACGCCTCATTTATCCTCTCCACACACACGCCTCATTTATTCTCTCCACACACACGCCTCATTTATTCTCTCCACACACACGCCTCATTTATTCTCTCCACACACACGCCTCATTTATTCTCTCCACACACACGCCTCATTTATTCTCTCCACACACACGCCTCATGACTTGAGTCATGACTTGAAAGGATGACTATTTGTATATTGTTTTACTAAAACTAAACAACATTGATAAAGAAACTTTGACTATCCTCTTATCATTAGTAATGGCTCATTGATCCTACCGAAACAATCAGCTTTGAAAGGCAACCGACCCGCTCATGTGTCATACTTTAATTATTTCCCTCTATCATGTTGATGTAATCTTTAAGTGAATTGGCTTTATTCTTAATTCAATAGCGATCAAAGGATCGCTTTAGATTTTAATATCATATATAAAACAATTAGACCTCGTTTAGAGCTAGCCGGGGTCAACGCAAGCAGCATCGCATGTGTAAAATAACGGAAGAGGTGCGTAATCTGTTTGAATATTGCCATATGGCTCTCTATATAAGCCACCGACTCTTGGTTGTATTGATTGACTCTATATAGAGTTGTTATTGACAGCTGGTAGTGCTTTCAAAGTAGGGTTTTAGCGTGTACTGACACCATGCTAGTTTTACAATGTGTTTATTGTTTTAATATTTTTTTTTTTTGTTGGTGTGGATTTGGTGTGTACGTGATCCACGGCACGGCGGGGTGGAAGCAGCGAATGACAACACATCACGGTGCGCAATGAGAGCAGATTTTGGGTAAAATTATTACTTTTTACTCTATTTTTTCTTTTTGGTTGGGGGGGGGGGTTCGGTGTGTGCTTTTTGTTGTTGTTTTAATTAAAGTTGAATAAACCATTTCATCATTTTAGGGGTGCACGGCAGAAGCTGTTACTTCTAAACCATGCCTCACTTAAGAAAGTAAGATTATACGAGAACTAACTTGACGTTACATTAAAGTCAATGGACGTTACATCGAAGTCAATGGTCGCTACAGCCAGGCCACTGGACACGTCCAGTCCTTCAAGTGTGGCAGCAAACATTGAAACCTTGACCTTGTAATCGGTCTGGTTGTTAAGCGGGAAACTAGCCCGGCAAGTCGTCGTAAAGAAAGAGCCGGTCACCTTAGATGAAGTCGTGGATTTAACCTTAGCCTTAGGCGTGTCCTGCGTTGTGGTGTAGAAAACATATTTTATTTGAAATCATCGTCATGAATATCACATCGTAATTTCATAGCAAGAAAGAATAGATTAAATACTTGTAAAATTGAAGATGTTTTGAAAAAAAAAATCAAAATACATTTTTTTTAAAAAGGCATTACAACTACGTTTGAGCATTTTATTTGTCTTGTCCCCCCCCTCCCACCCCACCGGCCACTACCATCACACCAGTGGCCAGTGGGACCAGTTCTCGTGTTGGGCGTAATGCTTGCGCATCGAAATAGTGGTGGGCAAGTTTAAAAAAAAAAATAAATATTCCTTCATGTCTAATTTGTTTAAGCTCCACGCCATGAAAATCAGAAATAGCATTTTTCTGTTATAGGTATATGGGTTTGCGGCTGTAAAGCCGTGTACAACAGGCGCACATGACACATTTCACACCAGTTAGTAGCATCAATTGGGGGCGTTTTTTATAAATCGGCTTGTTTGAATATTTGTTTTGTTATGTAGCCTTAGTAGTTGCCGAGTTCGCGCATTGACGCTGCTGCTGTTGTTGTTCTTTCTTTGTTGTTTTTTTTTTGTTTATCGGTATTTGTTTTGTTGTGTTGTTTTTTTGGTAGGGGGGCGGGGGTGATTTCTAGTTCAGTACAGTTCCGGAAAATACTATGATAAAAATTAAACATCTTTAAGTTCGTCTACACTCAATTCGAACTCTTTGGCTACACAGAGTGCCCAACAAGACTGTTGCGCACGTTTTTCTCTGCGTAATGCGTATAAATGAATTTTAAATTATGTTCTACCTTTTAGTATTTTTAACTTTGACTTTGAAAGCGGTTTTTAAATATTTTTTTTTAATTTTCGTTGAAGTTATCTGTATCTTCTTTTTACAGATGGCAAGGTGCTCCCTTTATATAACAGTTATTTTGTTACTGTAGAAAAGACGTGGACTACCTTCATGAAATTGGCATGACATCCTCTGCGCACATTGATTGTGTCTACCCTTAGTATAGAAGAATTTTTTTCTTCTGATTAGGCAAAGCGGAGTTTCGACGTTGTAAATTTTAAACTTCCGGATTATCAACGTCTTGATAAATTTTGTATATAATGGATTGCAGGTGAACATCTATGACCTATTTTTATTTTTTTTTTATATTTTTAAAAAATAAATAAATAAATCTGTCAAAAGCTACAAACCCCAGATAATGATGTCACGGTCCAGTTACAAAGAGCTTTGGGATAAACTTTGGCTGTTGTACACGTCATATCAACCTGTGTACTGTTGGATGTATGATTACAATATGGCGGCTCAGGTGGAACTAAAAAAAAAAAAATCAGAGCACACATTTAAAATTTAAAAAAAAAATAATCAGCTGATTTAAGATCAAGTTAAGCATGAAGTTTTCTTTGTGCAATTTTCACTTTTAGTTTTATGTCAATTTTTTTTCTTTGCATTCATGTAATAATTTTTTTATGAAGCGGTTTGCGAAACGGGGAAACTTCTGGTGAAAATACGTTTCATATATCCTTCAATTTTTCTATTCAAAAATACATTTTATTATTACTGAATACCCAAATACGTCACAAATACAAATCTACGCAGCTAATCTCCCTACCAAAAAAAACACTCATCCATTTAAAAAGTCATTAACTTCCCACCTCCCATTTTTTTTTCCTTTTTTTTTTTTTTTTTTTTTTTTATATATTTAAAAAATAAATAAATAAATCTGTAAAAAGATACAAACCCCAGATAATGATGTCACGGTCCAGTTACAAAGAGCTTTGGGATAAACTTTGGCTGTTGTACACGTCATATCAACCTGTGTACTGTTGGATGTATGATTAAAATATGGCGGCTCAGGTGGAACTAAAAAAAAAAAAATCAGAGCACACATTTAAAATTTAAAAAAAAATAATCAGCTGATTTAAGATCAAGTTAAGCATGAAGTTTTCTTTGTGCAATTTTCACTTTTATTGTTTTTTTTTTTTTTTTTTTTTTTTTTTTTTGGAAAACAAAGGTAAAACTGAGTTTAGGAGGTGCAGATTGTGGTAGGGTGCTGAAAATTTCGTAGAATGTGTTGATATTGACCAGAAGCCTATGTGCCAATTTTTAGCTCGATAGGTTGACGGGATATGGGTCAATTAGCCTTTTTGAAGATTTTGACACAAACCCGGAAGAAAACACAAAAACAAAAATATAAAGTTTTTTTGTTTAAAAAAAACACACGTTTTTTTTTGGGGGGGGGGGTCTTTATATATTCCATTCTGCCGATGTAATGAATACATTTTATGTATTATAATATTGACTGATATAAAAATCAATCGACCTGGGCACATGACTTAATTATAGTTTCAGTAGTAGCATCCCGATGTATTTAATTAATGTATAGTTCAGTATCTCAAGAACAGAAAAAATAAGTTACTGTTGTTTCAATGAAAGCAGTTGTTTTAAATTGATAACAACATTTCCGTAACAATAGTCTTAATTATTTCAATGTTTACTTCCATATTTCAGTGAGTGATGTCACACAATTGTTCAAATAGATTTTAAGCCAGAAAAAGGAAACGTAAGGCCAACCGCTGGCAAAAATACAATCATTCACTTTAAGTATGTCACATTGTTTTAGACTGTGACCTACTTCTTGAAAATATATATTTCTTTAATATGACGCAAGCGTGTGGATCAGCAAGAAATCGAGGAAGGTGTTGAAGACATGGGGTTTGGACTGAAAAGGATCAAAGTCGCATAAAATGTGGCCGATAACTCAATTCTTTCATTTCATCTTCTAGCACTAGAAGATGAAAGAAATGAAAGGATTGAGTTATCGGCCACAATTCCTTCCTTAACGAATTAAAACAATTGAAAAATTAAATTGATTTTTTTTTTTTGGGGGGGGGGGGTGGTTTTCGCGTTTCCCAGCTACTTATTTCCCTTTACAAAATCTGTTCGCATAGAACCCTCATTAAACTAATCTGAGAAATGTCCATAGCATTCCCGTCCTTTTTTTTTTTTACACTCACCAAAAACATAAAAGGGGCAAGGTTGGCTTCCCTCAAGAAGATTCAAACCTTTTTCTCTCACGACACAGGTCAACATCCCCTCGTCTGCAAACTGGACGTCTTCAATGACCAACGATACACTCTGATGCGTGTGGTTTCTCGTGACGTCTCCATGATATCCACGCAGGCTGACATTACACACACTCGCGTTGCAGGATACCAGCTCTGTAGCTTTTCTTATTATAGACATTTTAGAAGCTTGAACGCTGGCTGTACATGAAATCTCGTGAACCCTTTTTCCTACTTGAGCAGCCGGGCATGTCATGTGTGTTATGTTTGCTTCTGAAAAAAAGAAATTTTATCAAATTATGTCATTGACATTGGTGTGTAGTAGTTAACTATCGATGTGTTGCTGTTTTTTTCCCCCTACTTAACATTTCATATTTACTTGTAATAACAAACACCAGGGGGAAAAAAAAAGAAAAACAAGTTTAACGTAAAGGGAGGGCATGCACATATTGTTTTTATATTCTAACAAAAAAAGGAACAAAGGCATTTATTAAAAGTCCACCAACCTGTGAGACTTGCACAGACGAAACCAAGACACGAAACACTGAGGCATAGCGCCTGGAATTTTGCTCTTAAGCCAGCGATCATAATGAGTTGCTTAAAAAGTGAACCATTGGTACCGAGAATTAGTAGCTGTCAGCACAGCAGAGTTGTTCAAACAGCTGTGTTCCTAATCTCACTAGTTTCATCAGCGGTAGACGATGTGAAGAGCTACTTCCTGCTCGTAAGAGCTTGATTTGACTTGACCTTTGTAAAACTACTTATTAGTTGACATAATGTGAACTGTTTTTTTTTTAAATACATTTAAATTGATAGTGTGGGATGGGGTGGGGGTATGTTATTTGTCAGCGTTGAAAACAATCGATGAATGGTGAAAGCAGAAAACTCGTAATGTTAAGGGAAGTTATTAAATTATAGACCTCTAATGAAGTAATATAAATAAGCTGAGGTTTTATGTTAGACCTAACATTATTAATATGTTCAATTTTTTTTTTAGATGTTGGTGAACAATTCACTGCTCTAGAGAAGACTTTAATGGGCAGTGGGAAAGGAAAGAGACCATCAATGCCTTCACTGTTTATAAGACCAGCCTCCCCTGGTTATAAGAACATCACTGGCTAATCTGGTCATAAAATCATCATGGCCTACTCTGGTCATCATACAATCATTTCTTTTTCTGGTCATTAGACTATCATATCCTACTCTGGTTGTGAAACCTTCATTGCCAATTCTGGTTAATAAAAAAAAAAAAAAAAAGATTGCTTCTTCACCCCTTCAAAGAGGAAAATAACAAGTCACGGGGAATATGCAGCTATTGGGCTAATATTAGATATGCACAAAAATAAACGTATTTTGTCATCTTCACAGTCCAACGTTTGAAGAATTTACACAAGTCTAAACATATATTTTCAGCTCAAAACAAGTTTCTCACTTATTAAAACGAGTTTCAATTATGAAGATCGAAACTATGTGGAAGAAATTATCAACAGTTTGAATTCCCTTTCAGCAATTAAGTATGTATCATTAGGATAAATTTTACGGTTTGGATTCCATAAGCCCTACCCCCCATCATCTTTTGGAAGAAATGAAGAACATTAGTGCTTTCCACCAAATGAGTATTCTCGTTCAGTGCGTGAAGTAACTCATGAATTTATTATACGTTTTAGTTTGATTATTTTTTAGGAAACCACAGATCGGATAACTTTTGATTCAATCCATAGTTGGTTTGGCTTTGTTTGTTCTATGGGAGTGTCATTTTAAAAAAAAAAGTTAAGACCATTTGATGATGAAGTTATTGAAAAAAAAAATTGAACTTT